ATAAACTAACTCAAAACATCCAACAATCTTGACGAACGGCAATCACTATCTCTTATGTATTCACTTCCCAAAATATGTGAAAAAACTACTCTGATGAAATTTGCGCATTCAGACTAACTGATGAAAAGATATGCCTTTTTCAATCTTCATCGACGGGAATATTGGGAATTCAAATTTAAATGCTAGCGCCATGGTGGCAAAAATGCAAAATACAGATGTTTACAATTACATTGAATCTAGGCATGGTTAGGTGCAATTATATCTGCAAACCAGTGGATTTTGAGCCTCAGTTTTGAATTAGTTCAACTGTTTTTATGGGATTTTTTTTTAAAAAATTTTAGGATTGCAGAGAAGTTATTTGTGTTTATGTTGTGCGTGCAAATACCTCTTCCGTATGTTGTTCACCGACACATCCATCTTGGTGTTGAATGAATAGTTTTTCCAAGAATAATACTAGCTCTACCAATTTTTTAAAACTAGTTTGAATTCGTGAAACTTGGTTTTCGATGTATCACGTTAGTTTGTATTAATACTTGTTCATGATTTCTGAATTCGGTTTAATAATATCGGAATCATTTTTTTGTTGGCATTTAATTAATTCAGTTTTAGGTGAGTGACTTTAGAGTAATGCAGATTTGTCTAATGGGAAACTTGTTTGTTGAAGGCTTTTCAATCATAAAAATGACAGAAATATTTTTAAAATATTTAATAATGATTTGAACTTGATTTTGAATTTCTCAAGTTTATTCAAATCAAGAAAAGGGGATAATTGACCAATCTTCATCAATTTACTTGAAGAACTAATATAACAGCGACAAAAATACATACTAATTAATAGCTACCAAGACAAACAATGTGCATGTCTTTAGTTCACAACATCGACACCAGAGGGAGTATCGCTTATTTTGAATTCCCTGTATATCCCTGTATATCTTCCATCGATATTTTCTCATCAGCCAAAAACTGACGCTGAATAATATCTTTCGTGTTTATCGATCAAAGAATGAGTTTTGTAATACCCGGTATCACGAAGTATCGAAGGCGCTCGTAAAACATCAGCATGTAGTGAGAAGACGGCTAGGGTTCCGAACGCTTACAAGTTCATTACCATCGGCATCATTACTCTGAGTGCAAAGTAATGATTTGAGAAGAATAAGAAAATGCTCTTCAAGAGTCGATGGCAGCCAAGCAGCGAATGTAACCTGTAGTTAATACACGCACACCAGAAAATGAATACTTACGTTACTTACATACCGGCACCGTGTTATTTGAGATAATGTTAACTACCGGATGCTGAGAAGCTTTTTGCTTTCGTTTTCCTGTTCCATACTTATACCTTATTCAAATCGATTATTTTGTGCCGTAATAATTCGAAAAGAAGTTGCTGAAAAAGGAATAAGAAAGAGCTAGTATTATATTGAAAACATACCATAAATAAGCCTGAATAGAAATAATATTATATTTCACGTATATGCCACAATGAGATGCTAGCTCAAGTCAATTGTTTCAAAAAACAAATATATACTCCACATTCATATTCTTGTATATAAGTTTTTTCATTTGAAGTTTCGTCAAATACTGGCACTTTTTATTTCGTAAAGTGTATCAAACTACTCAAAACTCACTTATGATACCCAGAACTACTGTAGGTGTATATACATTTATATACTTCCAGAACACTTTGAAAATCAATTACAATAGCTAACAAAGTTTCCAGAAATTTCTTTCTGTTTCGCTTCGAATATACATTCATAAAAATATAATTTACTAGTATATGTGATATATGAACCCATAAGAATTTTCTGATAAGCGATAAAACTTACCAAATATTCACTTAGAATGTTTGATTCCTATTGCTGCTCACAAAAGTTCGGCAAATAAATTAAGCATTTTATCCGTGTGCAATTTTTTTATTCAGGACAAAATGTTATGACAGGTTAATACAGGAATAATCTATCCGTATGGCCAGTAATGCAAATCACTTTACGTCATCAATTTTAGTTTAAAAAAACTCCTGCATAGTTATGTTAGTACTTCATAATGTAGGTTGAACTCATGCCTCAAAAGATGGTTTCAAGAAACTGTTGGCTGAAATAAAAAACTAAAATGCACGGTATACCAATTCATTCCAAGAACGCTGAATGATCATTAAAACAGATTATCCAAAATCTTGTCGGTTCTTTTCCGCTTGTTTTACTATTAAACAGTTATAAAGGATTCGGACTGTTGCTTCTTCCGTTAACTTGAGTTATTCCCACCAAATAATAATGCGAAATTAGTTTTTCTGTTAGAATATATGAATATTCTTCAGTCGAAATAACTAGAATGAAATCATAATCTTCATTTTAGTATAATTGATATGGTTCAGTAAAAGTTTACGCAGTAAGAAATTATTACTCATTGGAAATACTCGTAGTTGATGTAGTAACCATAAGATATTAACTATTGACTAATTGCCGCCAGTAGTATATATTATTGCCAACACCATTTCGTGCTAGGAATCGCACGTTAAAATATGAGACCTCATAAATCCTCTGCTCGCACAAGTTTAGACTTCTGAGAATTGTCATTCGTTAGGGAGCGACATCTGTTTAACGAAAAAACATATTATAACAGGCAGATTAACAGATTTTACGTAGGAGAATTTACAATATGAAATATGATCAACAGTTGGATTATATGTTTATGACTCTCGAGCTTATTTTATAAAAATTATTATGAGTTCACCATTCCGTTGCCCTTATTCGTTATTGATTCATAGATCAAAAAACCTGAAGCGAATAATTATTGGAAAATGACGTATACTAATTTCCCCTCCTTTCAATTATGAAATAATTTTGGTTTTATTTTTGGCTTTATACTTCTCCATCTTTATACGAATAGATTTGGAAAACTTCCACAATTATTAAAAGGAAAAACTCTTTACAAAAATTCGCACATCATGCATAGAAGCTGCTTCTAGATGAAAACTAGAAGGAAAAACTCTCGAAACAACTACTTTCATATAAACATTGAATTGAACAAGAATCACTTTCTCCTATTCAGTTTGTACTCCAAACATTCGTTATGAAATTGAATCAGTTATAGTTCATCGGAAATCTACACAATATGGTACATGAGAAAGTTTCGATTCAAATTTTCACTCACATGGAACACTGTCGTCTTGCATGGCGGACAACCAATGTTTCGGAATAAAGCACTTGCCTCATTGCTCTTCAGCACCAATCTGGATATAACATTACAAGATGAGGCACTCAATTCATTCATGAAATCACGACTTTATGTCACGAATGAGTTTAATCTACTCATGTCATCGATGACAGTGCAGAATTCATAAGATTAGTTTTTGGGAAAGAAAGTTTTTGAATTCCCATATTCTTCTCCAGAAAGAAGAAAGGCAATAATATCAAAATAATCTATTTACAATGACCTACAGGTTATGCATAGAAGTTACTCCCTTTAAGAAAAAGCAAAATTTCGAAGGCAAATTTGTGAAGACCGCCGAGGAGGCGGCACCGGATACTAGTCAGGTCACTACCATGATGTAATTTTTCGGTTTCATACTCCATAAGTAACGTGATGAAGGTGACTTATATTACGTCAAACACACTTTCAGTAAGGTAAAACCACGTTGAACTGGAATTGTGGGTTTCAGAGAGGATTTAATATTCTACACGGTCATCGAACCAAAAATACACCTCCGGCCTTGCAATAATTCATATCAACAAATGGTTCGCATTCAGATGAAATGGCTTTTATAAATATATTAGCGAATGATGCTATTACGATTTCCTTTCGAAGCGGTAGTATACTATACCTCAACAAAAAAAACATGATATTACTTTCAGAGCAAATGAGCGTGACTGATTCTTTCAGTAGATGCTAGAATTGATATTCTTTGCTTTTCATATTTACTTCACTTCGAAGGCTATTCCCATGTTTCATGAATATAAACTGCTAGACATTATAAAATATAAAACTAAGTTGTTATTGCGAATTGATAAAAAGACGTAAAGGTGATTAAACTTACATTGAGAACGATACGAAACTGCATCCATTTCGAAGGAACTGAGTTTTCAGTGCTTTTGGATAAGTCTAGACTTATAGAGGGGAGAGAATAAAACAAAGAGCCTCAGTGAATTTTAAAGAATAAAAAAGTTCACAATAACTTTCGTATTTTTCAATTGCCCATTGAAGAGTCCAGATGTAAATATCGAAGTCTGAACATATTTTATGTAAATTTTAACGAAAATGTTGAGTGGCATTTTTGAAAATTCGGATATTACATGGAAGAAAATGTTATGACCTGCTTTACGGAATAGTATATTCTTGATGATGATGAAAGAACCATATTCATCTATAACACCTTTGATCAATGAGATGTTCAAAGGAGACTGACCTCAAATTTCAAAGATTTACCACTGAATGTTATTTATATTATTACTTCAATATTATTATTCACAAAATAGACTTGTAGAATGTATAATGAATACAAGTTCATAGAGGTGCTGTTTATATATTCATATATTTTAATTTTTAATGTTGATTAGAACTACTACTCGTATTATAGAATCTAAAATAAAAAAAATTACACGGCACAGACTCAATTATTATTCTTTTACATCTTCTATTTTATTATTTTTTTCTTCTATCATTGTAGTCCATGCTGTATAAGAAAAAAAACAGTGACAGTGACAATTTAAAATTTTCATTAAAGTTTTTAGATGACATAAACAAAAAATAATTTATGTCATGAACAAATTTCCTAAATCTAAAGAATTTTTCTGCATCTGGCAACGCTGTGACTCACGCTTCGCGACGCACTTGCAAGTGTGCAATGTAATTGAAATTACATGAATTATCCGTGCTATTAGTTATGCAAAGGATGATTTTCAAGTCCAAGACCACTCCCGGCCTGACCTTGATTTCGTCTGAAGCATTGATTAAGAATTCATTGACTCGTGCATCGTTACCTAAACTCTAATTTGTTTTTGTTTCAGCACCTTTCGAAAACGATCAGAGCACAGAAATTGAATACTACCCAGGTAAGTCAATTTTAAACTTGTGAATTTGTGATAAAGCGCGACCTTTATTGATTTCATTCAAGCACTGAAAGTACATACTATCATACACAATATTAGGTTCCAATGAACAAAAAATAATTAAATTGTGCTTTTTTTTCAAATAATTTGAAAATGGTTTCCTGATATCGTTTATGATACCTTCCAAACTATCTCTTGAAATAAATTATTTTAAAAATTTGAAAAATTGTTATTCAACCATTTCTTCGCTATAATATTGTTTTATATACTTATAAAACACCAAAACATTTGAACTTCAATTCGCTACTAATAACATTAGAAATAAAAATGAAATATCATAATTCAAAGTTTAATTTAAAAAAATATAATTACTCTCATTTATTTTTTTGTACAAAAAGAAAGAAAATATAGGACAACTGCCATAACACAAATTTTGTAATATAACAGTGACTTTTTCAAAAATGAGGTTAATTTTCGTAATATTTATTTTAGTTCATTTATAAGTTGTACTTTTTGAAGCACAAAAGAAAGTTGATTGTTTGAAATGATTAACCTACGAGTAGAAAAATAAATTAAATAAAGAATCATAGACCAAAAAATAAGTGAAATAAAATTAAATAAAGACATCAAATATAAAGGGAAATGATATAAACCATAGAGAATGGAAAACGCAAATTAGCATGAGCTAAAATAGAAATTGAAATTAACATTTAAAAAAATAGAATAACGATAAGACGAGAAAGGAAACTGATTTGTCACAAGCTGTTGTTTCTGTATCTTCTTTCGTATTTGATGCTCATGTTATGCTAAAAGACTGCTCATCATTTTGGTCGTCCTTCTAGGACTTCCCAGAAATAATTAGTAGGATCATCTCAGTTTGTAAATGTATTGTTTGTATTGGATTCGTGGCTGTAACACGAGCTTGGCTGAGATAGCTACGATCCTTCATAGATGTAATGTATAGTTCTGTAAAATAAGTTGTAATGGTTTATATTTTATATTAATCTGAATTGAATAAATTTTGATTTGATTTGATTTTGATTTGATTATAAAGCAGTACAATGAATAGACATAAATAAACAGTACAAAAAATTAAAACTTGAAACCAGCTAGGTTAGGTTAGGTCTAAAGTCAGAGGGTCTATTCAGCCCTACACCGTAACTTACAAGGGTTTATTGTGGCTCACACCTATTCACACTCGACCAAATAAACCCAGCTTTTTAACGAAGCTGATTAGTTTGTATGGTGAGTAGTCTTTCAGGTCGGATGGCAAGAGTACGGCTCTACCGAACTCTAAAACCCTGATTCGGTCCCTATCGGGGCAAGCACAAAGTATATGCTCTGTTGTTTCATCACTTTCCAAACAGAAGCAACACACACTGTCCTCCGACAGTCCGCGTCTCTGCATATGATGATTCAAATGACAGTGACATCGTAGTTCATCCCTACTGTAGTCCAACAACTGTTAGGTATCAAGCTTCGAAGGGTGAATAAACGCCTTGAAGTGAGCCGATCCTGGAAGATTCTGCCAGAAGTCCATAAATCTTCTTGCCATCCAGGTGTTCTACGTTTGTTTAGCAAAGCTGCTTACAGCACCCTCCTTTGCAAGAGAGTCAGCAGCTTCATTGCCTTCCAAGCCAGTATGGCCAGGCATCCAGACCAGAGACAATCTGTTAAGTATTCCTATCGAGGAGAGTCGTATTTGGCCATTTGCTACCAATTTAGACGTTCCTCGGTATGAGCCAAGAGCTTTCAACGCTGCTTGACTGTCCGAGAATATTTTTTATTGACAATGTCACCGCACACAATTCGATAGCGTAAATTTCCGCTTAAAATACAGTCGCATAATTTCCTAGGCAGGTAGATATCTCTGTCCTGGGTCTGCGACTAAAAACACCTGCACCAGAATCGGAAGGTGTTTTTGATCCATCTGTTAACCAACCACTGTCTGCTCTTAATATTTCCTTCTCCCGGAGGATGCAGTCCTGTCTACTTGGGAATAGTACTTTATAAGGCAGTTCGTAGTTATTTTTTACTGTAACATCCGTCTTATTGTCAGTATCCAGAACCATTTCCAATTGAAGGTTAAAATTCAGAATTACGCAATAACAGTTCCTTACTGTGGAATATGAATTTCCGATAGTTCATAAGTTGTGCAAATAACTATTTGTGACCTAAGAAACGTTTCGATTAATACCATCAAACTATCAAATGATAGGAATTTGTCATCAATTAGTGTAGAATGTTACTCTGAACGTTCTATTTACACATGTCATCTATAGGGAATGTTTTTGGTGTCTTTAACATCCATCGACAACTATGGTTAATAGCTTCATGTTTCGGGTAGGCTATGTTACCAACTTCCCAGCCCACTTAAGATACATCGTAGTCCCGTGAGTCATGTAATGTAACAAAAGGAATCCATGGTCAACTAGTTGAATTTTTCTTAAGGAAATATTCAATTGGATTCAGATTCGAGACCTTTCCGTCGATAACGGGGCATACTAGCACTGTGCCAATTCTCCACTCACTCACTCGAGTGTACATTGTACTGAATGCATGAATAGTCAAAGTCTTGATGAATCCTTTCTTCCAAATATCTTTCTTCTTCAAATGAACCGTGAACGTATCTCAACCTTTGAGTTCCGAGCTTTTTTGTTTTCCTCTATTTCCAGCGCCTAAAACCACCCCATACATTGGCTAGGACCGGTAATCATCTTGGGAAAATGAGACGCTTTTCAGCTCCTCACTTAAAATATCGTTCTGATTAAACGTCCTGGGTCTTAATAATCTTCTCTGAATGACCTGAAGTGCTTTTCTGGCAAAACTGCCAACTGCTGATTTGATCTCGATTTTTTTCAGAACCTCTACAAAATACCTTGAGTTTCTCTAAAAAGGTTTTCATATCAGTGCTACAACTGGTGAATTATTGGAAGCAGAAATCTCTATAAATTTTGATCTGAAGAATCTTCATCAATCTACACAGGAACAATCATGGATGAATAACTCGGCTTAAAATATTCTATATTTCATTGAGAGAGTTGTTCGATATGTTGTATACCACGCTCTTGACGAAGGAGTTATGAGAGAGAGAGAGAGAATATTTTTGTTCAGTTTTAATCGACTCATCAGTCCTAGGATTCGCAAGTTAAAAAAAAAGATTCTCCATTACCAGAGGGGGTGAAGTCTGGTTGATGAAAAAACGCAATTTTCTTTTAAGCTTATTATAATATTGTGTTTATAGTTTGTTTTTTTTTCAGAAATTAGCCTTTGATTTTTTTCATCTTCTATGATTTATGTGATTTCGTTTCATATTTGATTCTTTGATATAATTTCACCTCATTCTTCTGTTGTCAAGATTCATATCTGTTCATGCATAATGTACATGTACATGCATAATGGGGAATGTTCCTCAATTTGGGTTATTACAGCAAATGCAAGTTTGAACAAAATAAAGTCGAGTTTGATTCATGAGTTTTTCAAATTCACTTCGAAAAGTATTCAAATGTGGGGTTTCAATTTTTAAAGGGATTTATTTCTGATTCACATATTGGCAACAGCCCCTATATCAAGTTGAAATAATTTATACGTACCTAGATGTTCTACTTTAAAAAAGGAAAATGATCTTTATAAATAAACAATTAAGGCAAAATATAAATTATAGTTCAATACACAAGCCACATGAACAACAATTGTTTTGTTATTTATTTATATAGAGGAAGATAGGTTAGGTGCACAAAATGTCATATAACACAGAATGTCTCGGAACTCGGAACATAAGTAAACAGAACAGCACGCCTCTGAAATATGTCATCTTTGTTTGTCTCATTCAGGTTACAGATTCATTGTCCTTTATTAGCTATAACCGATGCTGCCAAATGGTGAAATAGAAACGAATCCTTTTAAATGTTGAATGCATTATTTCTTTTCTCTTTTTTAAGTATTTAAATATTTTTTTAAAGGAAAAGGTTGAAATGATAAGTTTAAAATGCGTTGTTTTAGAGTTCTTTAATGAAAACTACTTGATTTTCGTCTGGAGGAACATTCCCCATTCATCATCCAACAAAAAACATGGTTGACCGCATTTCAACAAAAAAATCATTGAATAATCCTACGGTGAATATACTATAACTTTTTTTTCAGTCGCTGATGCAACCGGTTGTTACTACAATTTCGAACACTACGACGAAGGAGACAGGATAATCACGAACGAGCCATGTTTAAATTGTACTTGCCATAATAGGATGCTCATGTGCTATCTGAGAGTATGCCCTTTCACTAAGGCCATCGGTCAGGACTGCAAAGTTGAAAAGAGATCGGACCAATGCTGTCCTATTATTACTTGCCCTGAAGGTAATTTATTTTCTCCACGTCAAATACTTCGTCATTCTGGCGTTACCTCAGGAATACGGAGTTCCAATAAATTTGAAACCAGGAGATTTCTGTGGCATCAGTGACTACCGTTATAGTTTTTCATGCTAACTTTCTTGATACCGTAAACTTCGTAGAAACCAAGTGGTTCTTTTCTTAAGGTTCAACAAAGCGAATAAGCTGTGTTCAGATATCAATCAAGTAAATATCCTTTAAAATATCACTGAAATTTAAGTATCCGATAAAAAAGTTTAGTCTAGTATAAAAATTGGGAATCACGATTCCAATAGAAACTCCTGGTTTCTTATTCTAGTGTTGTCGAAACAAATTACTGATTGTTTTTGCAGTTCCTGTACATCTAGTTCCTCAAACATCGACCCCATCGACGGCTCTCGGACATTTGAACGAATATGGATGTTCCATTGATAATCTCTTCTACGCCGACGGAGCAAAAGTGCCATCAAATCCGAACAATCCCTGTGAAGTATGTTATTGTATAAGGAACAAGACAGCGTGTATCATTCAAGAGTGTACCTTAACCGGAAAAGTTGTGGAAGGATGTCGACCAGTATATATTGAAGGTGTTTGTTGTCCTCTGCGGTATGACTGTGGTAAGTTACAAAAATTATATCCTTACGTTTCAGTACTAATACATCAATTTGAAACAGATTCCGATGTTTTTCTAAAACTATTCCCATTTTTCAGACCACCCCGAAATAGAAACAACTTCTAGGCCACTGCTCACCTCTACAACAACAACAACCACCACCACCACCACGATAGTTCCACCAACCTCTGCTCCTTCTGACTGTATTTATCAAAACCAAGTTTATATTGACGGCGCTCTAGTCAAAAAAGATGTTCCTTGCGAGAAATGTTACTGTATGAGAGGTGATATTATTTGTGCAGTACAGGAGTGTGGACCAACTCCACTGGATAAAGTGAACTGCACAGCATTACCAACAAAAGAAGGGCAATGTTGTCCAGACACTTATGATTGTGAAATGCTCTCTGAAGAAGATTTAACTACTCTATCTTATTATGATGTACCAACTACACAACCAACAATTATTTCTTCACATTCGGTTATTGGAGAAGAAGAAAAGTCACAAAAACCGCAAGAGGATGTTGACCAATTCATGACTGATAATGAAATAAAATTGGCTACAGAAGAAACAACAGCGACCATCACAACAAAAATAACTGAAGCTGTAACCGAAATTGTGGAATCGATAACATCCACAATATTCGGAACCACAGAAATACCTCAAGTGGAGCAAATTTCAGAGAAGGAATATGTGAAACCATTGGAAGAAACCAAAGATGGTGCTCCACAAAAGGAAACACAATATCCGACATCATCAAAAGATACAGAAAATGAAGAGAAACAACTAGAAAAAGAAACTGAGAAGCCAATATCTAGAAAGGAAGAACAAACACCGGAAAAAGAAACAGAAAATCCTTTGGAAATGAGTGAAAATTCCACTCTCCCAGATGAATCAATCACAGAAAAAGTAACTGATTCAGAACATGACAAAGTAACGGAAGAAACTGTTGAAGAAGCCGCTACTGAAGTATTACCCATTCATGAGCATATCCAAGTTCAAAACAAAAAGCCTGATTCAGCTCAAACATCGGAGATTTTCCCAACCGAATCTGAAGAACACATTACAACTGAAAATGTATTGAATGAAAAAGAGGATCATTCCTTCGATGATAATTTAGCACACGATGATAGTGATACTGAAAATAATGAAATTTCAGAAAATGATGTGACAACTGACCAATCTAAATTGCCGTCCACCGTTATGACTGGGTCAGACGATGCGCATACTCGACCAATAGATCAGAAAAATATACCATCTCAAGAGGACGTTACGATCAGAGTAATGGAAACGACACCAATTATATCACCGACCGGAAAACCTGATTCAGAACAATCAGCTGAACCCGCAGAAGTTTCCCAAGATGAAAACTCACAGTCGACGCAGATACCTACTGATGGACTCCCAAGTACTGAAGAAAAAACATCAAAAATAAGTGCAGAAGAAACCGCTTCAATAACCAACGCTCCAGTGGTTTCTGAAATTGAAAAATCAACAGAAAGTCCAGATGTGAGCGAATCTCTCACCAAAAAACCACAAGAAGAGGGGCAAAACGAAGTACCTGAGACACCGGTAACAACTGATCCGAAAAAGGAAGCAGTTATTATTGAACAATCGACTGATGGAAATAGCGTTAAACAAAGTTCCGATGAAACTGTAGTCGATACCCTTGGAACAACGGAAATGCCAATTAAATCAGCGACACCAGAGGTTGATGTCCAACCAAATGAAGAAAATCAAGAGAACATCACTAAACAAGCCACAAGCGAAATAGGAATAACAAAAGCTGCTGGGGACGAAGTAACGAAACCCATTAGTTACGACATGGTAACCGAAATTCAATCCAGTCAAGATGGGCTAGGCGCTACTGAAGAAAGTTTCTCTACTGAAGTAACACCTAGAAAAGAAGTAGAACTCACAAGTGAGGTCACCGAAACTTCAAGGATAACAGAAATTCCTGAAGTGGAAAAAGCTAAACCTGATTCCTTTGATGACCAAACGACAACAAAGAAACCAGAAGAAGAAATAGAAATTGTGACGGGTATATCTATGAAAGACACCGAGAAACCACAATCGATGGATCACGTTTCCGAAACAACATCTTTTGAAATAGATTCAAATGAAATAGAAAAATCAAGTGAATTACCAGATGTAGTAACGGAGCATTTCCAAGTTAGTCAAGTGGAGAAACAATCTAAACCTTCTGATCCAAATGAAAATACTAATGAAATACCAACAGCTTCAGAAAAATGTACTGAGGAAAGCTGTGTCGATCAAGATACAAGTGAAATAGCTTATGATAAGAAATCTGAAGATAAAACATCAGAAATTGTTACACCTAACTTGGAAGAAGGATCCGGAGAAGTGAAACCATCTGAAGTTGTAGAAAGTTCTGGTGAACCAGAAAACGAAACGGAATCTTACGATCAAAAAACCGAAAAACAAATAGAGGAGTCTTCGGAAAAGCCAGAAGTGATACCTACACGAGCAACTGAAACTTCAACTGCACCTAAGGATATATATCAAACATATAAACCAGATGTATCTCAAGTTGGAATATCAGAGACTGAATCAGAACGACCAACAGAAAATTCTGAAGATGAAGTGACCGACAAATCCACTTTATCAGAAAAGGATCATTCTGGTGAAAACCAAACTGAATTGCCAGAAATACCGGCGATATTAGTGACTTCTAAAACACCAGAAATTTCTGAGCCAACATATTCTGAAATTACATCTCAAGCTGAACAAGAATCAGGAATCACCGAGTCGTTTGAAAGTGATTCAGAACATAAAACATCAAAAAAACCAACAGAGGAAATCACAACGGAACCACCACAAACTACTGACAGAATAGAATTACAGGAACCAGAAATACCCAATATATCTGACCAGAATGTTGATTCTACAGTGCCATCGATTCATGCAGGACTAAATGAAGCAGTTCCAGAGCACTCTGTAACCGAAAAATCACAAGAGGAATTGAAGCATGATATTACACCTAACTTGGAAGAAGGATCCGGACAAGTGAAACCATCTGAAGATGAAGATGGTTCTGGTGAATCAGAAAACGAAACGGAAGCTTATGATCATAAAACCGAAACACCGAAAGATATATTGTCTTCTAAAAAGCCAGAAGCGGTACCCACACGAGCAACTGAAACTTCAACTACACCTACGGACGTATATCAAACAACTGCTATAACCCAACATGGCGATAATGATGAATCTGAGCATCCTGAGGAGACTGTTTTTGAATCCACACAATCATCAACAAAAACTTCCGATCTTGACCAAGTTACTGAAAAGTATATCACTTCAGGTGAAGTAACTGTTGAACCTGTCGAAAAGGTCGTATTCACACATTCTTACAACAAAGAATCAGAATATACCAGTGAATATCCAGAGCCATCAGAAGAACACAAACCCACAGAAGAACCAGATGTCAAGGAATCTGAATCGGCTGTAACAGAAGAAGAGCATGGTATACCTGGAGAAGGAAGTTGTCTGGTTGACGGGCAAACATACAAGAACAACTCTAATGTTCCCCCATTCAATCAGTGCCAACTCTCATGTAAATGCGTCAGTTCAATTCTCCAATGTGAATCTGTTCAGTGCATGGCACCTCCCAGCAATTTAGAAGACTGTATGCCAGTCTTTCATTCACCTGGAAGCTGTTGTCCAACCTATAGTTGTTGTAAGTATTATATCTGAAATATATAAATGACGCATCTAACTCCTATTTCGTTTCAGCTGTTCCCAGTGCCACTAGCGTTATAGAATCGGATAGTCATATTATTGAAACAACTCCTGACCAAAAAGTCGAAAAACATGAAACTACAAGCCAGAGTGTCAGTGATCAAACAACAATTGCAACTACAAGTACAAAGCATGAAAGTGAAGAAAAAATCACTGAATCATTTACTGAAAAAGAATCTGAGGAACCCACAGCATTACATGATGATTTAGATAATGAAATTCCTGACGAGCATTTCGAAGAGCACCACATCATCCCTGAACATTGTGGTGAAGAAGGCTGTTCAGCTATTGAGTCTCAGACTACCGAACAAGCGATCAACGAGAAAGATGAGACAGAAACGAAAAAGTATTCGGTTACCGAATCCTCTCCACATGAAAAAGAAGAAAAACATACACAACAGCCTTTCAAAGACTTCTTCGATGGGGAAAATCTACCTACAGTAACTGAGAAAAAAGACTCATCCGAAAAAGAAGGAACCGAATTTTCTCTTACAACGGAAAGCATAATTGAAACACAGCCTGAGAAAGAATTTGCAAATGCAGAAATGACTAGTTCGGTGGCAAATACTATCTCAACGACAACAAAATATGATATTATCACCGAAATACCTTCGGTTCCTGAAAAATACCCAATGGAAGACATAACCACTTCCAAACCAAAGGAACACGAACTCACTGTACCTGAATTATCTACTGTTAGGCAAAGTTTAGCAGAATCGGCAAAAGATAACGAAATTTCTACGGAAAAAACTGAATCAAATGAAGCACACGACGAACACCAATCAGAAGACAGCAAATTAGGACAAGGAACTACAATCTTACCTATCACCAATACTGATTACGAAAGTCTTCCCAAAGACCCGACAGTGATAAAGAAACAAGAAAGTGACTCCACAAAAGTTTTTGGCGAATCAACAGAAAGTGTAACAGATATTTCTAGTGTAACTCAGCCTATACAAGAAGGTGAAATACCAGACCAGAAACCGCAAGAAGAATCGTCCTCAGAATCGGAAAGTGTGACATCTGATGGCTCTGAAAAAGGACAGATTCTTGAATCAGGTACAACTCAATCTACCTCCGATGAATCAGTTTTCGAAACAGCAACTCAAATAGTTGAGTCATCCACTGAGCTAAAACAACCCACTCAGAATCCTGAATTATCAGAAAGTACGTCTGAGGATCAAAATGTAAAGTTTACTTCCATAAAACCTGGTCCATTCGAGCAAGTTACAAACATTGTTACACCTGAACAGAAACCAGGAACAGTTGATGAAACCGAAGAAGTAACAACTAGCACTCTTGCAGATTTTGTCACTGAAATTGAAAATTCCATAACGTCCAAGCCACTTGAATCTGCTGATCATATGACAGATGTTATAGAACATGAAACTGAAGTACCAGAACAATCAGTTTATGATGAGAAAAAATCAACTGAAATCAGTTCTGAAAAATCAGTACCTGCTATCACGGAACCATATCCAGTGGAAAAAGAAGAAATAGTAACAAAATACCTTGAAGTAATAACTGACCAACCTGAAGTTGCGAAAGATATGTCCGAAGTTCGTAAACCTGTCACTGAAGAAACTAAAGTACAGTCTACACCTCCTTCAGTAATTATACCAGTGACCACAGTTCATCATGAGTCAGAAGAGAGAATAACTGAAGCACAGGCCATACCTGATCGAGAAGCTGTAACTGAATTACATCATGGGCTTGAGGTTGCTACCGATGCTGCAGAGCCTGGAACGGAGAAAAATACAGAAACTAAACCCGAATCGGAAACAATAGACTTGGTTACTGAAACTAGTTCTGGATTGGGAGTTTCAACAGAAACTCAACCAGAAGTAATTGAACATGCGGATGCTGCAAATGAACTACAACCGGAACATACTGAACATGATCAAGTGGGTACAGAAGCTAGTCCTGAATCTGAAGATATTTCAAACGATTCAGAACCCAAGCCCGTAGTGGTTATTACAGAAACTCCTTCAGCATTTACTGAAAATGTCGATATTGTTACTGAATCTCGACCCGCATCTGAAGAAGTACCAACGAAAGAAGAACCTAAACTCTCAGAGGTCATTACTGAAAGTCAACCTGAAATAACGGAGAATAGCGAGACTGTTACTGAAACTCTGATCGCGTCTGAAGTTCCAACCGAAGCAGGGACCAAATTTGCAGATTTGACTACAGAAACTCGTCCCGAGGTAACTGAACATGAAGAAATTGTAACCGAAACCGGAATCGGATCAGATGTAATAACTGAAACTCAACACGATATCATTGAAGTTTCAACAAAAAAACTAACCCAAAAACCTGAAACGGTTACTGAATCCCAGCCAGAAATAACTGAACGTGGCGAGATAGTTACTGAAGCTTTCATCGAGTCTGATGTTACAAGGGACTCCGAACCTAAACCGGAAGGAGCAGTTACTGAAACACAATCAGAAGTTACTGAAGTTTCCATGGGAGAAAAACTCGAACATCCGGTAGTAATCACTGAAACTCAACCAGAAATTTCTGAAGTTTCAACAGAAGCGCAATCCAAACTCCCAGAATTAATTGCAGAAACTCAAACAGAAATTACTGAAGTCTCAACAAGAGAACAATCCAAACATCCAGAAGTAATCACTGAGCCTCAAGCAGAAATTACAGAAGTTCCAACAGAATTGCATCCCAAACTCCCAGAAATAATTACACTATCTCAACCAGAAACTACTGAATTTTCAACAGAAAAACAATCCAAACATTCAGAAGTAATCACTGAGCTTCAAGCAGAAATTACAGAAGTTTCAACAGAAGAACAACCCAAACTCCCAGAAATAATTACAGTATCTCCATCAGAAACTACTGAAGTTTCAACAGAAAAACAACCCAAACACCCCGAAGTTATTACCAAAACTCAACCAGAAATTATTGAAGTTTCAACAGAAGAGCAACCCAATATCCCAGAGATAATTACAGAGTCTCAACAAGAAACTACTGAAGTTACAACAGAAGACCAACCCAAACTCCCAGAAATAATTACAGAGAGTACTGAAATTTCAACAAAAGAACAGCCCGAAAATTCAGAAGTAATTACTGAAACGCAACTAAAGAATACTGAAGTTTCTACCTCAGAACAACCTGAACACTCACAAGTGCTTGAAGAAGTTCAACCAGAAAGTACACCAGAACGACCTTACCATCCAGAAATAATTACAGAAACACAAACAGCAATTACTGAAGTTTCTTCAGAAGAACAATCTAAGAATCCAGAATCAATAACTGAAATTCAACCAGAAATTACTGAAATTTCAACAACAGAACAACCGGAACACCCAGAGATAATTGAAGAAATTCAACCAGAAATTTCATCAGGAGTACAACCTAAACAACCGGAAATAGCTACTGAAATTTATCCAGAAATTACAGAAGTTTCAACAAAAGAGCAACCTAAATACCCAGAAGTGATAACTGAAACTAAACCAGAAATTAATGAAACTTCAACAGAAGAAGAATCCGTAAAACCAGAAATAATTACTGAAATTCAACCACATATTACTGAAGTTTCAAAAGAAGAACAATCCAAACTTCCAGAAATGGTTACACAATCTCAACCAGAAACTACTGAAATTTCAACCGAAGAACAACCTAAACATCCACAAATGATTACGGAAACTCAACCAGAAATTATTGGAGTTTCAACAGAAGAAAAACCCAAACATCCAGAAATAATTACTGAAACCCAACCAAGTATTACTGAAATTCCAGCAAAACAACATCCTGAATATCCAGAAATAATTGAAATTTCATCAGAAGAAGAACCCAAATCCCCAGAGATGATAACCGAAATTCAACCAGAAATTACAACAATAGAACAATCTAAATACCCAGAAATAATTAGCGAAAGTCAACCAGAAATCACTAACGTTGCAACAGAAGAACCCAAACACTCAGAAATCAATGAAATTTCAACAGAAAAAGAATCGACATACCCAGAAATAATTACCAAGGCCCATCCAGAATCTATGGATTCAACAGATGAACAACCCGAAAATCCAGAAGTAATTACCGAAACTCAACCAGAAATTACTGAAGTTTCAACAGGAAAACAATCCAAATACCCAGAAATAATTACTGAAACCCAACCGAATATTACTGAAGATCCAACAAAAAAACATCCCAAATATCCAGATGTAATTACCGAAATTCAGCCAGAAATTACCGAAGTTTCAGAAGGAGAACCCAAACATCCAGACATAATTACCGAAAGTCAACCTGAAATTACTGAAGTTGCAACAGAAGAACCCAAACACCCAGAAATATCAACAGATTCTCAACCAGAAATTAGTGAAATTTCAACAGAACAATCGAAATACCCAGAAGTAACAACCAAACCCCAAACAGAATCTACTTCAGCTTCAACAGATGAACCCAAACATACAGAGGTAATTACCGAAACTCAACCAGAAATTACTGAAGTATCAACAGAAGAGCAACCCAAACACCCAGAAATAATTACTGAAACTCAACCAAGCATCAGTGAAGTTTCAACAAAAGAACAACACAAACAACCAGAAATAGATGCCGAAACTCAGTCAGAAATTTCTGAAGTTTCAACACAAGAACAGCCTGAACAACCAGAAATAACAACTGAAACTAAACCTAACATTACTGAAATTTCAACAGAAGCACAAACCAAACATCCAGAAGTAATTACTGAAAATCAACCCGAAGTGACTGAATATGTTGCAGTAGTTTCTGAAACCCTAATTGGATCTGATGTTTCAACGGAAGTTGGGACTAAATCTGGGGAAGGTGTTACCGAAACATTACCGGAGATTCCCAAAATAAACCTTTCACAAGATCAGTTTGTCACTGAAATTCAACCGGGATCTCAAGAAGTTCTGACGGAAAAAGAACTTGAATATCACCCAGAAATCACTGAAATCAGTATAGAAAAACAATCTAGACCAGAATTGGGAGACTTAGTGACTGAATCTCATCCCTCAGAGGTGCAACCAGAATCAGAAGTATCAACCACCGTTAGTAATCCTGTAGAAGTTCCAACTGGTGCACATGAAGAAAGTGAATCTGTAACCGAAACTCGTCCAATCGAAGTGTTAACTAAAGCGCATCCAGAAATCGAGTCTGTGGCTACCGAAACTTATCCTAAGCCTGAAACTGAAACCTCTGATATACAACCAGAAGTTGTTACTGGGGTGCAATCTGTGCCTGCAGAAATGACAACCAAAGCAGAACTCGTACCAGAGATATTTGAAACACTTGAAACCGATTCTCCTAAAGAAGTAACAACAGAATCATTTGTTCAAGTAGAACCGCTGGATGACAAGCACAAACAAGAAAAGGATGGCCATGTTGTAACCACCACAGATGAAACTTTCACATCGCCTCATCCCATAACACAGAGTCCAAGAAATGATTCTGAATTATACACGTCTGGTCCAAAAGAAGAATACTCGACGAAGAAATTCATTGAAGGAGAACTATCTACTTCCGTTCCACTCACTTCATCCAAACCAGAAACTCCTTCATCTACTCCGAAACGAAAACCAAGTCATGAAATACCCGGAGAACACGAACAACTACCTGAGTTACCAGATTATCAATCGCCTGTGGAAGACTATGATGAAGATGATCAGAGTCCTCTCGGTCCTGGAACTTGTCGCTATGGAGGAAAAGTATTTGTGTCGGCCCAACAAATTCCACGTGATGACCCATGTGATTTCTGCTTCTGCTTCAGGAGTGATATAATATGTCTACAACAAAGTTGTCCACCTCCAATTCCAAATTGTCACGAAGAACCTATAAGGGGATTCTGTTGTCCAAGGTATGAATGTCCAGTGGGAATGGCAACGTCGCTCAACTTAACAACAACAACGACAACCACTACGACAACGTTACCACCTCATTTCTTACCCCATGCCTACAAGGGCCTGGCTGTTAAGAATGGTTGCCAAATTCGAGGGCAAGCCTATAGAGTAGGAGATTATATTAAATCTGCTTCTGGGCCATGCATGCATTGCACGTAAGTATTTTTTAAAATAATAATCATACACCTAATATTATCTAACACTCCAAAGGTTCAAATTCTTCTTATTGATATTATGGAGTTTAGATATATTCCTTAACATTTAATTCATGCAGGAATACCTATATAATATATTTTTTATATTAGTCCTCGATACTCAATTGTCTCAAAAACCACCAAACTGTCTGAGATGCTCACAATCTGTAACATTCAGTATGGATCAACAATCTACCTACTATGTATGTATACAATTTCAAAATTGTTTCAATATATTTATATTTATTTATTGTTTACAAAAATATTCCATTTTGGTACTTTCGTACCAAATGATATTGAGTACTTTTCATAATAATTAATATTTCCCTGGTTTTTACCTATGATTATTACGTAAAAGAGAAAGCAACGGACTGCTTACAATGGACCGCTGTTGCTGTTCATAGATCTCATTTCACATTGTTTGAATTCTATACTTTTCAAGGCGCCGAAAAGTCTGGTGTCATGTACCGGTCACACCGGTTTCAGTCATTCCTCACTTATTCTGTAGTCTGTCTTTGAGACATGTTGAGCGCCACTAGACTTATCTGGTCTATGAAACGGAATAGGTGAAATATGTTCCTTGTAACGAATCCAATAAAATGCTTGAAAATGTTCAAACTGCTACATGCAGGCAGACTTTCAAACGCCTTTGACAGCGAAACGTCGAGAAACAGAACTTTTGCTCTGGTAAAAAAGAAGTGTTTTTAATAGATTAACTTCACACCAGAGGTTTAAATTCTACCAGTCAAGATAGTTCAGTTGATATTGAAAATAAATAGAAATATTGAGTAATGGCAAGTCTTCAGAATTTTCTGAAAAGAGTGCTTCTCAATTGTCATCAGTGTTAGGTTAGGTTAATTCTAAAGACAGTGGGTCTATTCGACCCTCCAGCGCAAACCGCAAGGGTTTGTTGTGGCTCACACCTATTTACACTCGGACAAATTAACCCAGCTTCTTAACGAAGCTGATTAACTTGTATGGTGACTGGTCTTTCAGGTGTCAGATGGTAAGAGTATGGCTCTGCCGAACTCTAAGAACCTGATTCGGTCCCCAGCGGGGCAGGCACAAAGTATATGCCAACAACTATCTGCTCTTAATATTTCCTTCTCCCGGAGGATCCAGTCCTCTCTATTCGGGAGTAGTATTTTATAAGGCAGTTCGTAGTTGACAGTTGGAGACATAAAGTCAGAGGTAATTTCCAGAATGCTGTGACTCCCATTGTTAACCAAAAGTCTGTTGCACTCTGAATTAAATTGATTTGTGCAATTGGCAATGTGCACAAGTCTGTATGCAGTCCATCTAGCCTCTCTCTCCAGAAAAATGTGGAGAGAGAGACAAGCCTGTCTCTGTAAGCCAGAGAGCTTCGCTTGGGCCATTTTCTGTAAAGCTTTCGGCTTCATCATTGTATTAACATCTTAAATAATTCCTACCAACTGTCACTTAACAATCAAGCTGAAGGTTTGGTATTTATATATGTATATAGTTTTTATAATCCTAGTTTAACGTTTCGAAAATATTACCAAAATTATAGATACGAAATATATGATTATCCGATTTTCAGAAATTTTTATGTGATCATCCAAAACATGAATGTACCTTTTTATTTATCGTAAAATTCAATAGAACTATGCTTCGTGTGTTATATGAGTAATTTTTGTTTTCAGGTGTGGTGCAGATGGGCAAATGAAATGTGATCCAAAACAATGTAGTCCCGAACCGATGCTCAGGCAGATGATTGCAGCAGCTGCGTCACGAAGAAGAAGATGAATGATTGTGTGAAATAGTTACAATGCCACAGTATTGTGCAAGTGATACAGACAATTTTATAAAAATTGAAAAATAGTCTTGAACTCAAACAAAAAATGCATTCTAGGGTGCCAAAATGAACTAGGTAGTGTGCCTTTTAAAAGAAATTCGAATGATTTCTACTCGTAGAATTGTAATTCAGAAAAAAAACGATTTTTCCGGTGATCTACGCGAATGTATACTCGAATATATAGATTATTTATAACGAACATGACTGATGAAATTTTTACACTTTTGTAATTAGAATTATTTGGAGTGTCGTTTAGTTAATTTGAAAAAGCCATTACTTATAATACGCGGGCTCTATATTTATATAGTGTTAAAATTTGTGTTGTGTATCCTCACAATGTCTAAGTTGTTTGACTAACAGAAAAATATACCCGGTTCGAAAGTAGTTAAGTGAATACAAAAATTTCTTTTCTGCTACTTGAACGCTTAGACTATCCTTTGTATATTAACGGATGCTCAATATTATTAAATAGGCTAAGTATATGTAGTATTTATCAATAAAATATGTAAATGATACGGAATTGAAAGTCTTGAAATGTTCCCTTCCATCCTTTAAATAACTGAAACTAGAATAATCTCTTTACAAAAAAATAACTAAGAAATTATACAATAGTTATCCTAACGTTTCGGATGCTGAAATTTGTCCCCGTTTCCAAAAATTAACAAAATTTAAGTTTTTATTTTGCTGATTCTTTCAAATTCTCAACTTCGTCAACTGATGTCAGAGAATGTTGTATTTAAAATATTCGTCAATAACTAGAATTGTCAAATTCCGTTTTTTAGCTCTACCGCCTCCATTCCGCATGATATAAATAATCTGATATAAACCAATTTGCAATGGGACGTTTCGTTCATTATATTTCATCATCAACTTTACTTTTTTGAATACGGACCTTCAGTTTTTTTCAACGATTTATGTAGCTACCGTTATAACTAATTCAACTATGTATTACAATATACAGAGTGTAAAAGCCAAATTAAATAAATTCATTATTTCGGTTACTGTACATATTAAAAAAAACCGAAACACGTCAAATGTAAATTATAATTTGACATTCTTCAACACAAAAAGGCCACCTCTACCTTCAACCCCCTTCAAATGACATTCAGGTAGATAAATTATAGAATCTGAAAAATATTTTATTTATTTTAAAAATAAAAAAAATCACTCACATAATCTGCGGAAAATAATCTATGGCTCTTCAATATACTTACATGTCAACGTGTCTCATGAGCTACATACAATGTGTAAGCCAAATGAAATAAATTCATTATTTCGGTTACTGTACATATTTTTAAAAAAAAGCTCAAAGCACGTCAAATGTTAATTATAATTTGACATTTTTCAACGTAAAAATGCCAACCCTACCTCAACTCCCTTTGATTGGGAAATGTATCGGGGTATTGCCGGACATTAACTTGGTAATGTGGTAGTGCTCCATCCTGCTGAAACCATATCATATTCACTGGAACTTGAGGGTTTCCTGGATCAGGATATAAATTTGCTAAACTTGGAATGACATCATTTTGAAGTAGTGCCAAATAATGATCACCATTCAAGTTGTGCTCAATGGAAAAGGGTCGAATGATGTGATTTCCTACAATTCCTGCCCAAATATTAACCTTTTGAGGGTATTGCGAATGTTCTCTCAACCAGTGAGGATTTTCCGTTGACCAGTAGCGGTAATTTTGCCGATTAGCATGTATATTAAGAGACCGTTAAGTACACTCATCAGAAAGCATAACGTCTCCTAATTAGATGATATTGATATCCAACATGTTTATCATTTAATCACAAAAATAAGTTCTTTCATCAAAATCGTCTTCCATGAGCTCCTGAGTAGGTATCATTCTATAGGGATGCATTTTATTAACTTTTAATATATTTACTATCGATGTATGGTTAATATCGAATGTAGTGGATGCCTGTCTACTCGATGTATGTGGGTTTTCCTCAAACTCAAGCATCACATCTAATTTGAGTTCATCACTCATTGCGTTGGCAGTTGCTATTTTAATCTGCCTCACATTACCAAGCTCACCAAACTGCTTCTCTATTTTGCTTATTGTTCCTTGAGACATGGGCGGTAGGTAAATTAGGAAATTTCTCATGAAATAGACGAGCTTCTTCCTATTGTGTTCGGGTTTTACCTCCGTAACCAATCATTTGGAAAACTGTTATTTTATGCATTTCCGTTAATCTAACCATTTGTCAGACTTGAAATTAACGGATTTCAAACTTGAATTAAAATACTGACAACTAATGTTGTAACATACAAAACAAGTTAACAAAGCGTTTTAAACTAACGTTGCCACGGAAATTATATACAGTTTTTTAAAGGATACCATATAAAAAGAACATTGCTATGGTTTTTGCTTATTTTTTCATTATCAATACCTCAACATGAAATAAGTGTTGAGTATATTGCCCGTTTTGAGTGTATTTTATCGAATTTCGGTAACCACCTGATTTTAATTCAGTTTATCTTAATTGCTGCAATAAACTGGGAAGCCATAACATTTTTGAATAGAGAATGAAGTGTCCTTTCAAACAATATATCACAAGCCTATACTTCCCATTTGAAAAATTGGGAGTTGTACCTGTTATTCGACGGGGGTTGAAGGTAGAGGTAGCATTTTTCCGTTGAAGTATCTCAAATTATAATTTAAATTTGACCTGTTTCGGTATATTGTTAAAATATGTACCGTAACCGAAATAACGAATTTAATTTTATTCATTAAAAATTAGCTTTTTTATTTATGAAGACACACTGAATGCAGAGAGATGTCTCCAAATATTAAGGACGACTGTAACCGATTTTCTTGAAAATTTGCCTTTAGAGGAATACAGGAATTCGTGGTTTCAACTGAACGGAGCGCCAGCTCATTCCACCTAGGAAGTTTCCAGGAAACTTGACGAACTCTTCGTCGATCGTTGGTTTAGGCGTTTAGGGCCGTGGCATTGTCCACCGAGATCACCCGATCTCACGCCACTTGACTTTTTTTATGGGATGTTTTAAAAGAAAGGGTATACAGTACTCCAGTGCCTACCAAAGAAGAATTGCGACGGTGAATAGTGAAAAAGTAACCACAAGTCGCGTGCAAAAAAACATTTTAAAGTGATTAGAATGTAATGGACATTTTCAGCATTCATTGTGAAAATGTGATATTTTGTTTAAAATTTTGTTATTTTGAATCATCCTATTCTGTTATTGTCTGTACTTTCACATGTTTTAGCCCACAAAATCTTACTTTTTACCTAGAAATGACTGATTTTTGGTACAGTTGTTCCCTGGAAACTTTGAGCCATAGTTAAGGAAATTATTTTGTAACCTTACAAACTTCCTCTCGTTCATTGCTGTTAATTCAGGATACATTCGGTTGAATTTTTTACACGTTTGACAATGATTCGATCACTTTGTTTATGTGTATAATAAATAATTTCATAAGAACTTCGTTTGAATAATCGATATTTGCATTCATTTTGGAAGATGATTCGAAACACCGACGATAACTCTTTGTAAATTACTTATAAAAGTAACCGAACTGCTATAAGCTTGATAATTCCACTGCTACCTAAATCCAAATTCTAAAAAAAATTAATGTTTCTAGAAGAAGCGATTTTATTGGGAAAACTTGACGATTTAGGTATAGGGAAATGATATATCATCTTGAAGCATTTTTCACCATCTTTCAATTTACCGAGTAATATACAGGGGGTTTCATTATAAAAAATGAACTTTTGACTACTTTTATGCACAATTGAAATAATAGTAATTTTAGCACGTTTTGGACCATATTTAGCACAATTTATTTTTTATCTCGAAAACAGATAGGGATAGGTATAGGACATTATTAACAAAAAAGTATTAAAATGCCAGAGCGATTCCAAAAATGTATTATTTACGGGGTGTTCCATTAAAAAAATAAAGTTGCTACGACTTTTTGATGGAAGTGGCAACGCCGCAATGCTGAAAATATTTTAGATCGATAGAACAGGTAAGGAAATGTGAGAGGTGAAATTTTCAGAAAAATCATGCTTTGCGTTTTCCAGAAACGTCTAACCTACCATCGACCGTGAGTCACGCTGTATATTGCAGATGTTCACTTCTTTAGCTTGTTTTATTTTTATTGCAATTGCTTCCAATTTAGTCGCCAAAGGGATGCATTCAACATCAATTTCACAATTTCAATGTTCACAAACAAAGTCATAAACCGTGCTGAGCTGTTTTCGATGGTCCACCCTGTATGTTTGAAAATATATGTTCAAACAAAACTAAACATTTTACTAGTTCGGAATTCCATTGTCTAATATGATGTGATATGATTTGGAATATCTGGAAATTTGAATCAAAAACTAAAATGAATAGCTGAAAATAACAATTACATCAAGCAATAAACTCAGAAATGAAATCACAATAAAATAAAAATAAGCAAAAAGGTAACAATTAAAAATGAAATAAATTATTTAAAAAGATTACAAACCAAGGTACTTCACGACGTTACGATTGTTAGTATCCACAATCGTCTTCGGGTAATAACCCGAAGAATTTGAATTTTTCTGAATAGTAATGTTATAAAAATTTTATTTTTTTTTGTCCCAGCTCGATATCACAGGATGCATGGTATATTTATTGATACACATTATAATGAGTCATACAATCATATTCCAAATTTTAAAGGTTCTAATACAAATTCTAGGTGAGCTTCTTGTGTGATGTCTCTCTCTCTCTCTCTCTTTCTCTCTCGTATATTTGAGAGAGAGCGTATATTCGAGAGTTGTTCCACCGGATTCCAAAGAGTTCCATCGAGCAATACCCGAGCGTAGGAAAGTCGGTCAAGTCTAAAATTTACAGTTTTTTGGGGTTGTATTGTCAGTATAGTAGTGAAATGAATTGGGGTTCAATTGTACAGCGTGGTCAATCATTGTCGAACCTACGGGAACAACGTAACATTTGGTGACAAAGTGGAATAATTGACTGAAAATTTTCTGTTTTATGGAGAAAATAAAGAGTGTCGATTACGACGGGATAGATGAACTTACGAAAATGTTCAAGGTTTTGCAAGCAAATCTGGTAGAAAATGAAAATCGCAGACGAGAGAAAGATGAACGAAGGAATAGGAAAAAAAGTAACGCTGAAATGAAGATCGTGAATTGCTACTAAATGTATAGGAAAAACTAGAAAGAGACAGTTATTCGATTTCTACGACAGGACGCAACAGTAACAATTTCCGAGAGTGATACTACCTTCATAACGACAGAATGAAAATAATATTTGAAAAAAGTCGGTGCCAGCGAGCTTGGAGTAGAGCAATGCAGCAAGGCTTCATCAATTCCAACGGCATGGCGGTTAGTGTCATGAATCACAGAGACCATTTTGAAGACCTTACTTGGTAACTAGAAAGATAAACGACCTGGTGTACAGAATCCAATTGTCACCCAGAAGCAAGTTTAAGTTCGTCCATGTAGAGCGAATGAGTCCTTACATGCTTCTTGATGTTCCTACTTGTACTCGTAATGTTGTACTGTGCGAACATCATCAGCGAAGAGGGAAGTATTTTCATTAAAATAATTTCACGCCAGAGGTTACAATTTTAGTCATCAAGCTATGTCACATTATTTCTGACATATCCGACAGCAATTATTTGCAATGTGATTGCACCTAGGTGCATATAAATACCATGATTTAATCACCCAAACCCCTTTCTATGTAAAATATTTTGACAAAAACAATCGATCCAAGGCACTCTTAACTCTTCATAAAAGAAAGATATCCAATGTACTTCGGCATTCCATTCACAGAGTCGCTAATCGTAAACTAATGTTTACATTTGCAAACGATTCTTTTTACATCTATCAACATGTGATAGATTTCTTGCTTCGAATCCGAATCGGTTTAAACAGCAGGGTTTTCTATGTATCTTCAGTTGCACACACCTCACAACAGGAATTTTTCTAACATTGGTAATATTGCTGATTGTAAATTATAACATTATAACATTGAATAACATCATGTTGGTTCTTATAACATCATGTTGGTTCTTATGCACCACTCAACAAGAAAAAAATAGTTGACTGGATTTGTCTTCAATAACGTAGGTCGTGGTTGAGTTTTCTAGTTTGTGTTTCGTGATGACAGAACACGAAAACAGATTGGTGACATATCTCCATCGTCCTAACTTGCAAAAAGTAGAAACATTAACAGCAACGCCTCTAATATATCAATTTATCGTCGGTGGATGGTTATTCTAACGATTACAACAACCAAAGTAGCAGTTGGCCCAATCCTAATTGATTTTTCAACGTATTGCATTGTAATGGTCGAAAATTTGCTATGTTCATTGTTTAAAGAAACTCTTAACAAAAATAGTGTTCACGTTCGATGAGACTTTTCATTTATTTTTTATCGACCTTCTTTGGGTATTTTCACCTTACAGAATCTGAAAAATATGAAAATTATAATGAAGAACTTTATATAAGTGTAGAAAGGGCAAGCTATTAGTTTGCCCCGATAAGTTACAGCGTGAATTCAAAGTATTGTTCACAAAGAAAAGTGTTCTATTCATCAGTAACTTGTATTAAATAATTATACCTATAATTAAAGCTAAGAAATAATACAATACTTATCTTAACGTTTCGTAGGCCAAAATCTGCCTCCGTTTTCAGAAATGGGCAAAATTTATATGCAGTTATTCCTTTCCTTATTATTTCATTTCTCAACTTCTTCGACATCTGCAAATATATTTGAATATTGACCATTTCTGAAGACGGAGGCAGATGTTGGCCGAAACGTTAAGATAAGTAATGTATTATTTTTATGGTAGGCAAAATTATTGAATACGATAAGTGAAAAATACTTCGAATTTACGTAGTAACTTATCGGGGTAAACTAAAAAATTTGCCGTTTCTACACTTGTATGAAGTTATAATTTTCATATTTTTCAGATTGTGAAAATACCCAAAGAAGGTCGATAATGAACTGATTTTCCTCCACAAGAAATGACTTTCGTTCAATACTTTCTATTTTGTTGTTATATATTTTATTGAATATATATTGTAATGCCTTGCTCATATGGTTTTCCCTTTGTCTCACTTTTGTATATGTTTTGCTATTTTACCTTATTTAAGCTAAACAGATTTTTAATATTTACTTTGGAATTTATAACCTTCATTTTTTTCTTAGTTTCACAAAGACTCCTGAACTACTCACTTTAAAATCTCTTTAAAATCTGTTTTTCCGTTAATCAGCTGTCGCGCCCATACGAACGACACGAACGACACCTCTCAGAAGTTGAGAAACTTGTGCGAGCTAAGAACTAACGAGGTCTTACCTTTCAACGTGTGATTCCTAACACGGTTCAACCAGATAAATTTTCTCGAGAAAAATATCTGGTCGAGGCAGGAATCGAACCCATGATCTTCCGATCCGGAGTCGGGCGCACTACCACTGCGGCCAATACCAATGTATATTAGGTAATTATTTTTATATTTCTATATAATACATGCTATCTCCTAGGTTAAGTTGTAAAACAGCCTCGGCTGAACTTCGCCCTTTCATTGATTTTTGTATCTACTTCTTCTTTATAAACAATGTATGTCAATGAATAAAGCCCATTTATTATTATTATTAATATTATTATAGTGTACAAATGGTTTTGAATTTTCATTTTACCATGAGTATTCTAACTCAACCTTTAGTAATAGTTTGACTAGTGCACATATGAATAATTTGGGAAAAATATTCGAACCGCAATAAATAATATGCAACTTGTTTACTGTCGTGTATGCGCATGCTTAGACAACGTCATGAGGAGGTATATTTATTTTGTTCAGGTTGCCTCAAGATGCATAGAAAGTCCTTCCTTGGTGTGACAATTTACAACCTTAGAACATAAAACTACAGAAAGGAGTAAATTGTCCATTCTAATGTGAACAAATTTAGTGTACATACAGTGTCATTCCCAAAGTATGCACCATATGAGAAACTTATTTATTAAGGGTTTTTCGACAAAATGTTATTCTTGATAAAAGTGTGTGCATCCCCTAAAACTAAACATGCACCAACAAAATACAGTAAAACACACGTAATATACGAGGAGCCTTCAAATATTTGATTTTGAAACAAGAGTAAAATACTCATATTTTGAAAAATCTCGGGAAATCGACTGCATGTTTCCGTTTTCGCAGTGGCGTAGGGCGTAAAGAATCTCAATTACTGTCCAAAGTAATGTTGACGCATTTCGGATCGGTTTTTTGGATTTGTGGAAAGCTTCGAATTGAGTCAAATGAAATTTCATTTTTTAAGGATGTAGAACGTAATTAAAACCTTGAAATAGATGGCAGGGTGATGATGGAATTAGGTCTTTATTGGTTTATAAAATATTGCTGGATGCAGTTTCACCAAATTTCTTTAGTGTTCATGTGAAATAGAAAGTTCATATTGATTCACCGAAAAAAAAAACCTGACTCCGCTAATTATTCTAATAATGTACTGAAAACGGCAGTTGATAAATCCACTTTGAGAATAATATATTTCGCAAATTTTTAATCGATATTGCTGTATGGTATAGATTTCTGGGAAAAAGCTTATTTTGTGAAACTTTTCACTCCCAATCTAAAACAAATTCAATTAGGAACTTTCAAATTATGGAAATGCTTCTGCGTAAATTATTTGCTAATTTGTCAGGAGCAAATCAGATGGAATCTTATAATTGTGAATACTGAGAAATAAAAAAATTAGAAAGATACTATTAATGTTTATCGATTTTTGAACAGAATCAATCTACTGTATAAATTTCTGATTCTATCATAATTAACAGAATTTTCACAAAAATAATTCTACCTCGTATTTAGATAACAATTTGAAATTGAGAATTTCATAACTCTCCAATGGGAAAAATCATTCTATCGAACACTCGTTTTCCCATAAAATGTTTTAATACCTTAAGGAAAACTTCCTCTCAGTTTATTTTTTTATTACAATATGTTTGGCTCCTCAAAAATTTTCTGCAGTCTAGCATATTATAATGACTCCATTACTTGGGTAACTCAAACCGCCTTTTGATTTTGTTGTAATCAAGGAGTTTAGGAAATCCTCTTCAACTCCAAACATCTATGCAACACATTGTTCACATTTCAGTATCCGTCTAATTTCAAAAGAACCAAAAAATCCTTCACTGAAATAATTTTGATTTTACACTTTGAAATATATTTATATATGCGTGTTTATCGTGTAATGGTGTGATTTATTATCGGCCCTGGAATATAGAAATTCACTCCTGCGACTGCTTTTGGGAAACTTCAAACATCATTATGACGTGTTTGAGTCATACACTGCGAAAAATAAATTTTCAAAAAAAAAATTTTTGATACCTTTCACAACATACTGCTTAGACGATATATAGTGGCTGTGATCACATTAGATGTGAGGAATAATTTTTAAGGAAGGGTTAGATTGGGTCAACATGATCGTATCCCACTATATATCGTCTAAGCTAGTATTTTTCAAAGTGGACGATAACGCCCCCTTGTGGGCGCTGGTGGCCTATACGGGGGCAATAAAGAGCACAGAGATGATTGGTGGGCGTTGAAGCGGTTTAGGGGGCGATGGCTAATTTAAAAATGGTTTTTTGCTTTTAACACAAACTTTACCGCTCATTTACGCACAACGCGCGTTTCCTCGTTTAACGCCACCTAGGGGACTAGACAGTAACTATTTCTCGTCTGAGTTATCAAACTGTACAATAGATGGCGGTAAGCTTCAATGCGAAGCTAGAAGTTTCTAGTCTCCATTCTCGAAAGTACTAGACCCGCCCGCTGCCTCATATAAAAGCGCGTGCGCCATCCAACCAGTTATGTCATACGACAATATTACGAAAACAAGTGAATTTAGTTAGTGACTAGCTAGGTAAAGTGATGTACGTGCGGTGGTGAATACTGTGAGTGGTGTAATTAGCAAGTTTTTAATACTCGATTCTTTACTTCAGCATTTTTGAAGACAAAATTATGTCGGAAGCAAAAAATAAGAAACGGCAGTATGACGCGGAATATATTAAATATGGATTTATTGAAAATCCCACAAATCCATCTTCGCCTCTGTGCCTTCTTTGTCAAAAGATAAAAGTGAAACTTATTTCATACAGGAACAGCATATTTTATGTATAGCCACAGACAAACAATAAATGTTGTTTATGAGTGCTGCAGAGTATTGCATACATAAAAAATCATTCAAACTGTTTATTTGTAGTATTTTTACATTATGAGAAAAAACTGTTTTCGACAAAACATTTTCAGCTTTCAAAAGTTGCAGGAGGTGGAGGTGGCCCTCTCGGAGGAAATGGAGGTCTCCCCGCAGGAAAACTAGGAGGTGGCGGAGGTCTCCAGGTCGGAGGAGGTGGTCGACCTCCTGGTGGCGGCGGTGGTGGAAACATTCCTGCAAATGGTGTTCCTGCAGTTGACGATACAGACCCAGGTGGACCTGGTGGTGGAGGTGGGATAACGCCTGCCCCTGCACCTGGCCATGGTGGTGGAATCAAACGAGGTGGAGGAGGGGGACCACCTGGAGCTGAAGTCGGAACAGGGGGAAGTGGTGGTCTAGGTGTAGACCCAGTGGAAGCCGAAATTGGTGGTGGAGGAGGAGCTCCAGGAGGTAAAGGTGGTTGGGATGGTGGTAATGGAGGAGGGGGTATACCTGAAGGAAATCCACTTGGAGGAGGTACTGGTGGTGGCGGAGGAGGATGCATGTTTGCGGGAGTGGGAGGTGGCATCATCCCTGTTAAAATAACAGGAGGAGGTGGTGGAGCTATCGTCATGGGCATCATACCAATTGGAGGAGCATCGGCAAAGAGCTGATGAGGCCTGTCTGCTTGTGAGAGAGGATTCTGAGCAGCAAGTAAACGTTCTGCAGCAGAACCGTGCCTTTCACCCTTGGAGTCCTTTTTGAAAGCATACGATACAGAAATAGGTCGATTGCAGAGATACTGGCCGTTCATTGCTTCAATGGATGCATCTGAAGCTTCAAAACTGGCAAAATTTATGAATGCAAATCCTTTGGAGTTACCTGTTTCTGGATCTCTCATAATCTGCAAAAAATATAAGCGATCACATCATTTATTTTGACAATATATCTGATTAAATTACGATTCCTTGTATCTGTACTGGGTAATTTTTCTCTAAACACATCACGCATTATAAAAAGATGAAATTTATTCTTTTTTTTTGTGCTAAAAGTAGAGAATATTGTTAATTCTCCAGGTTTGTTAAAATTTTTAGGAAACCTTGAATACAGTCTAAAATGAAAGAGAAATCGAAAAAATCACAGAAACGATAAATTAATGTTTTCAGTTGAGATTATATTATTTTGATTTCATGCATAATAAATGAGCAAATTCACATTATTTTTGTGAACTTTCTAGATATTTTCCACAACAGATAAACTTTCAATTGGTGTTATGTGATTGTCTTATATTGATAAATTGGTATGTTTTCATCTGTTTCAGTTTTTAATGAATAATATATATTTTCAAAAAAAAAAAACATTTTTTACATTAACGATTGTGAAATGTATTGAAGTGTTCATTACAATAGATTATTCTTTTCAATAAGCTACCTAAAACTGTTGAGGGGCATAAAAAGTATTCCATATCTAAAAAGGAAATGGAGCTCCTAATTAGGAAAACGTTTAATAGTGTGAATAAATTTCACTCTGACTTACTTTTCAGGTTCATTCACATAAATAGTTGTTACTGGAATACGTTTTTCTTTCCCAACATGTTACTTTATGCAATAGTTTCATTTACTTGGTAGTAGATTTCATGAGTAGTGGTCACTAACACAACTATTTCATTCAAGAATTTAACCCATTAATGTATATCAATTGTAATTAGTTTTTTATGTTTTATAATATATACTCAAATATTTATGATATTATGACCATGTATCTATCCTAACCATTCACTCATTACAATTTAATACCTATTATGTCTAGATACCCAACAAGTGACATATCCTTTGAAAATTATTTGTTCTACAAAATTGCGAATAACAACGTTGATTATTGTAGTAGTAATTTTTTGTATGGTGAATGTTCATTACTTAATCGTTATTAATGATTCAGAATCAAGTTGTGTTTCTGAATACTAGATTTCAAAATAATAGAGGTAAATGTCTTGACAATATCTTTGCTAACTTCAATTATTCCGACGTCAATATAATCGATATTGACTTGTCGGATCACTACGGTCAGCAAATGAATTATGTGTGTGATTATGATAAATCCCTAAAATATATTAAAAGTAAAAACTATAGCAAAGGCAACATTGAAATGCTAATAAATTACCTGAAAGCTGAAAAGTGGCGGGACTCCTATAATGCTGTCTCGAGCGAGGATAAATATGTGTTTTATGAAACATTTTTATATTACTATAATATTTGCTTCATTGGTCCAAATAAAAAACGTAAAAATATTTCTAAAAAATGGGTTACAGCTGAAGTGACTGCTGCAAAAAACAGATTGCTCTTTCTGCACTCTTACTGTAAAAAATATCCATCTGATAATAATAAACAAGCTTACAATGAGTACAAAAGAGTGTACAATCTTCTATTAATATCAGCTAAACAAGCTCATAATCAAAAATTCTTGGATGAATCAAATAATTATAACAAAGCTGTATGGCAAGTTATAAATCGTGAAGCTGGCAGAACCCAAAAAAAGGTTTATCCCAATGACATATCTGTAGACAGGTTAAACTCTTTTTTTGTAGAAAATGCTGACAGAATGATACAGAAAATACCTAAATCCCCGATTGACCCTGAAACTTTACTCTCTAAGAAACTTAATTCTGCACAGTCTCTATTCATTAAACCAGTCACCCCAGATGATGTGAGAGTAATAGTAAACGATCTTAAAAATAAAAAAACGAAGATCTTGATGGTATAATTTTTTTTATTATACAAAAATATGTATTATGGATTATTGGTCCCCTGGCTGATATAATAAACTGCTGTATATCACAAGGTCACTTTCCTACTAAACTAAAAAAAGCTAAAATCATCCCTATTTATAAGAAAGGAGATCCATCTCAACCAATAAATTTCAGACAAATATCAATACTACCTTCGTTTTCCAAGATCTTTGAAATAGCAATCTATAGTAACCTAAACAGTTATCTTAATATGTTTAATATAATAATACCTCAACAGTTTGGATTCAGAAAAGGTGTTTCAACTTCTGATGCTATTCTTTCTTTAACCAAATTTATTGAAAATTGCTTTGAAAACAATCAACATTTTATAGGATTATTCACTGACTTATCAGCAGCATTTGATTGTGTTGATAACTCAACTTAATTAAGTAAACTCAATTATTATGGTGTTTGGGGAAACACGCTTGACCTATTCTCCTCTTACTTATGCAACAGAACTCAGACTGTTGAATGTAATAATGTAAGAAGTAATCCCCTTGAAATAATGAGGGGTGTGCCTCAAGGGTCAGTTTTGGGACCATTACTCTTCCTAATTTATATCAACGATATGACGTCTTCTATTACCTACCATAATACAGCAACAGTTCTCTTTGCTGACGATACTACAATCAGTGCTAGAATTGATAGACGGGAGGATCCCGAAATTGCCCTCGAGGCAATTATGAATCAAGCCAAAACATGGTTCTCTGCAAATGATCTCTTACTGAATGAAACAAAAACTATAACTCTTAATTTTGATTCGAGAGCTTTAAACAACAGCTGTAATTATACTTCCACCAAATTTCTTGGTTTTCTAATCTCGATAGTCACTTAAACCGGTCTGAACACATAAGTACTCTCTGTAACAAACTTGCTAAATGTGTATTTGCAATAAAAAAAAATCGAGAAGTAGTCTATCAAGATGCTGCTCTTACCACCTACTTTTCTCTGTTTCATTCTCTTCTTCGCTATGGTATATTAGCCTGGCGAAACTCAGCTCAATCACATTTAATGAAAGTATTTATCTTACAAAAATCTGCTGTACGAAAAATTATCAAAGCAAATTGGGACTCGAGCTGTAAAGTAATATTCCCAGCTCTGAAGATCATAACTTTATATGCCGTCATTGTATATGAAAAATTACTATATGTCAGGAAACATATTAATGAGTATTCAGCTCATTCTGATGTTCACGTCCATGACACCAGGTCAAAGAACAATCTGATAAAATCACAATTGAGGTTGCAAAAGACGCAAAAAGTGGACACTTTCCTTTTCAATACCCTACCTATCCATTTTCGCAACTTATCGTTTAAAATATTTAAGTACAAATTGAAAAACATACTGACTGAGCATTGTCTTTATAGTATTGAGGATTTTACTAAAATTGCAACTGATAAATGTATTTTCTTGTAACTTGAAATTGTTATATTTAATTGTAGTTTGCATTTTATTAACTGACTGGTCCATAAAATGTAAATTTTCTTAGTGACTCAAAATAAATATTATTATTATTATTATTATAATGCATTATTTTATTCTCACCTCCACTCAATTGTGCAGAAAAACTTATCTGATTTCTTCATGTTTATTTTCATTGTTTCCTATACTTACAATTCAAAAAACATTATAATTTCATATTCGCCCCCTTCTCAGGAAAACATCCTGAAAATGTCATTGGTCTGAAATCATGCAAAGAGTCACTTTAGTAATTGTTGTTAAACAATCATAGTGCAATCAAGACAGAATACTTTAAATGCTAATATTTCAGTGAGGAGTAGTTCTTTGAAAATATTCAGGGTGACACGAGATACCAACGAGTCATGTTTGCATGCAGACAATTTTGCTGCACTATTGTCATCAACTGAGATTCATATATTTTATATATTTATATTCAAAATTCTTTTTCATACAACTGCAGGAATTAACATAGTGAACCAATATGATTTTATTTAATAGTTAAATACATTTTGCATCTTAGTAGTAGTGTTTGATTGATTTCTTGAAGAATTAGAGAGATGAAAACTTTATTGCCCAAAGAACATTAAATTCTTGTCAACAAAGTTTGGCATTATGGATATGCTGAGTGGGAGGATCTTCAAGACTATTTCCGAAATTTATTTGGCTAGATGTTTGTTTCAGCTCTAATGATCCATCAACTTTTTTGGTATTATATATAATAAAGTTGTCATTAATAATTGAAAATAATCTCAGGACCACACTTACTGCTTTCACCAAAACTTGGAAATGATTTCCCCAGAAACAAATTCCATATCTTAGGTGGTACTCTATTGATGAGAAGTAGACAGCTCTTCAAGAGACGATCATCAAAATATAAACCTAAAAATTTAGTTGTTGATTTGAAACTGACTATATAAAAATGGCATATGAAAGTTAAAATAGAAGTCTTTGGGAAATAATCTATTTGTATCACACTAGTTTTGTACTGGTTAGTTTAAATATTCTTACTGATTTCGTTACCGTTTCTTTACGTTGTTTGTGACATCATTCGATAGATTGCTTCTCGTAGATGTAATTTCAGTAATAACAAAAAAAATATGAGGAAACTTCACATATCTGATAAGTGATAACACAACCGAAAATTGTTTACTGCTTGTAGATGGGTTGAAATGAGTTTTTTCGTATTACAACTGTAATCCCCAGAAGTTGAACCTTGTGCCATGCCAGCTACGAATTACCTTGTAATGTACGATTAAACGATAAGTCCTAGGGCAGGAATGGGAGATAAATGAAGAGACAAAAGTAGAAGGGATAGTGAAAGGAAGGTACAGGATACTACTCTGGGTGCAAGATATGTTAAGGAGGAGGATACATTGTCAAACCTCAGTACTTTTGGTAATAAATCAAAGTGAACCTCTATCACAAAAGACACTCGGAACACCACATGTTGACTTCAGATTCTTGATTGGCAGCCAAAAATTTATAATTCCAATAAATGAAAGTTCAAATATTTTTCCAGAAATAAACCTGAGCCATGTAACCAAAAAATTACCCAATCAGAACAGGCGGTATAAATCAAACAATAGAAATCGATAGCTTAGCTTACATATTTATGATCCAACAATGAAAACTTTTTCAAGTAACATTATTGTGAGATTTTCAATGGACAGATTATAAAACCGCAACATGGTCTTGGCTATAAAATAACTTCCTCAAGCATTTTCATACAATTGTAGTTTTGTACACTGTCCAGTGAAAACTTCACAATAAAGTATTACTTAAATACTTTTGAATTTTCATCAAGTATTGGCCAATTACATCACATACAATAAAAACTTACCTTAGGAGTTTGCAAAATGACTCCGAATGCAGAAAATGTGTCATATAACAATTTTTCATCAACTTCAGGATCCAAATTTCCTATGAAGATATTAGCCCCAACGTCTAAATTTTTTTGATGTGCAGAGGCTTTATTGACTCGAATAGGCTTTCCATATAACTTAATCATATTCATTATTTTGATAGCATAGTCAGCATCTTCTTCGCCCATGAATTCAACGAATCCATATCCCTGATGCATCATAGTTACCCGATCTTTGGGCATATGAACATTGACTGAAATAGAAGTAAATTTATAATAATTGCATATTTAAGAAAAATTGATACTCACCCAATGGTCCAGCTTGAACAAAAAGTTCCCATAAAAGAGATTCGGACACTTTGTCATCCAAACCTCCAACATATATAGTAGCATCTGAAACATAAGATACTTATAACACATCAACAAAAATGTAAGCATACTTTTATTACCTCGATTTCTTTCTGCAATTGGTCCATTTGCCATATTAGAAATGTAATAAAAATTTACCGAATTTTAAACTAATTAGATGTAGTATATTACAAGCTATATCGACTTAGTTGTTATGATCTGGATATACATATACCAAATACCATATACCTAGATTTCTAACCTATTTTGAAACCGGCTACCAACTAGTGATGGGGGAACAGTGTTGCCAACAGGATGAACTATAAAATCGCTACACATGAACCGAAATTTCGCTACATTTCATATTACGCTATGCTTGTACCACAGCTTACTTACTCTTGTACCGCTGACGCATCTGTTCGCGCATGCGCCATATCTAAAATCAAATACCACAGAACTTACAGTTTGTAGGTTGTGTACCGTTCAGATACCACAAAACTGAACTGTCACTTTACAGCAATTGATTTTTGAAAGCTGTCATCTTGACCAAATATTTCTTTTCTTGAAAAGAAATAGTCACATTGAGCTCTTGAACGATCATTCGTGACAGGTCTAGTCCATCCTTTCAACATGGAATCAGACTATTAGTGGAGTTTTTTCCCAATACCAAATCGTTATTTTTAACACATCGACACGTGTTTCGGTCACCAAGTGATCATCTTCAAAGAGAAAGATCAAATTTAGGAATTAGTGCGAGCTAATCCTATTTATGCTATAAAGGTAACCCATACAGGTAAACCATCCAGGCGTACAACCATACAGGCAAAATTGTAAAATTAATTTAGGTTGGTATGCCTGTATGGTTGGTACGCCTGGGTGGTTTACCTTTATAGCATAAATAGGATTAGCTCGCAGTAGTTCCTAGTTTTGATCTTCCTCTTTGAAGATGATCACTTGGTGATCGAAACACGTGTCGAGGTGTTGAAAATAACGATTTGGTGTTGGGAAAAAACTCCAGTAATATTCATTACTACACCAAAGGTTCCAAACAGTGCATCATAAATATGGAATCAGACAACCAATGTTGAAAAAAAGTTTGTTTTCGAGACTTTCTGTATTCATTTGAACATGTCCCATTCCCATCAATTTTAACTGCGCTATCTCTTTCGTTCGAGCTTCAATCAGATGAGCTATCTTCCATTTCCACTGTAATTTGTTCCATATAAATTATAATACTCGAGACAGTCGCAGCCTGACCGCATTTTATTTGAAAAATCTACCTACAGTGTTATTGAAAATCTACTGAAATCTACTGCAATATATTTGAAGAGCACCAAAATAGTGAAAATTTGAGTTTTCCACCATTAAGTGGCGCTTGTAAAGACATTTGACTAGCATGACTGGATGAAGAAGGCCTTGGCCCACAAACCACTGACGTTTGTGTCTTGGCCTTCTTACTGGTATGGCCAATGGGTGTGGTCTAATACTTAAAATAGCAAGTTGCTTTCTATTGTATTTCTATAGTTGGTGTCTGTTGTTGGTTATTTTGAATACTTGAACTATTTCAAGTATTAGATTTCAAGATTCGAAAACAGAAATGTTTCCATGTGTGACATGAAACTTTAAATTCTTTGAAAGTTTGAAAACGAAAACTGAAATGAGGGTTTCCTCATTCCTTTATTCGGAGGTCGGAGATCATTCCATTCATTCAAAGAGAACACCTCAAGTGTAAGATTCCTAGAAACCCTGGTGTTGCAACGCTTAGATTTTGTTTTGAACTTTTTGAAGGAATCACCTGTTGCTTTTAACGATACTTACGAGAGTTTTCCCAAGATGGCGCTATTCCGAATTGTTCGAGTCCCCGCTGAGTCAGTCAAATGAATTATTATCTGTCATTGTCAAAAGGAATTTTTAACTTTTGGTATTTTGAAATTGGTATTTTTTGTCATCCCAATCTTTACATTGTTCTTATTTTTTTTATTATAGTTTCCGTTCGTTAGTTCTCAGTTATTTTAGTTTGGGTTACATTTTTCAGTAGTAATAAGGAATAATGTATAAGGATACTTTTTGTAAAATGGGATAATTCTGTATTTTGTGTGGACAGTGTAAAAATTTCGAGTAATCATCTGTATTCAGTGCCAAACGTAAAAGACATTTTATAATTACTGTCAATCCACCAAGGATAACATATTTTTGTATCAACCTACACCAAAAACAAACTTCATATTTTGAATAATCCTTCACCCTTTCAAATCCACCTTCTGCTACTAGAGTGTCATTACTTTCTTAATCATAATATCAAATTGAAAATAAACATTCACTTATGCTTTTTTTAAATTTTTTTTAAATACAACTTTATATCTAGTTGCAAGAAAAGTCTACTCATATAGATACCTACAGATGAGTATTACAGTATGCAGATAGATTTATTGCATTTCTACAGAATTATTATGAGAAGTAAGTAAGTTTACACTTACATAAAATTTAACATCCATTTAAAATATCATGAAATTAATATCAGCATAACATTTAAAACAAATAAAAAATTAAATT